TTCATTCTGACCACTCCTCCTCACTCCAAGTATTCTGAATACCAAAACTTTAATGCATGAATGTCTTGCCTAGTGCTCTATAGCTAATTCTAAACCTGAAGGTCAAGGGTCACAAGATGGGAAAAAAGTACAGGTGAAGTTCTTCTCAGTAATCTTTTCCCTAATCTGTATCTGAAGTCTTGAATTAAGTGACCTCATAGCATTATTTGGGACTTATTCAAAATAACACATGACCTGACCACAGTCCAAAGACTAAAGAAATGCTTGGAAACAGCTGCTCTGCTGAAAGTTGTTGTGCGGGTTTTGTTAGAGGTCATTGGCTTTATTTACTGGGGTTTGTTAGCTTAGCCTCAACCCTGTAGTTATTTTTCCTTTTTTTAAAACTCCTCTCCTTTAACTCATCGCCTCATGTCACCATGTCAGGTCCCCATAAATAAACTGGCCAAAGGTTTTAAACTGATGTTTGTTATGTTTATACCACATTGCACCAGGCACTGTCCCTTTTGTCTGTTTACAGTTTGAAGGCTTGGACAGCTACTTGATGCAGTGACACAAATGCACATTGCTATCTGGAGGCTACACACACTGTCATTGGTGGCAACAAATAACACTAGACCCATACAAAATGTTAGATGTGGAACTGCTAAGTGCTGTACTTAAACATGACTTTAGGGTGCTCAAACATTTCCAGAGGATAAAATGGGATTTGCAATGTGGGGAGGCTCTGTGGTTGCAGGGTTGCCATGGGTGAGACACTGCAGACAAAAACATTTTTTTTTCATGCTCTGGTTAATTTTGAGATCCCCCCCCCCCTATTTTTCTTACATAACATGTCTTCTCATAGAGTAGTGGAAAGAAAATGTCTAAAATATGCTTTTAGATGTTTATTTCTCTAAACTTGGTCTATTTTCGTTGGAATCATTACACAACATTAAAACTGACAGAAGAGGTAAATAACAGTGAATGTCTTGTTACAGTTCAATGTTCTGCTGGGAAACTTGAGTTTAGCATTCATGTGGATGTTACTTTGATACTACCACCCACATAAGGACGATGCACCCTGCCATACTGCAGAAACTGCTCATGAACGGCTCAAGGAACACAACCAAGAGCCAAGGGGCATTGACCCAATCTCAAAACTGCCCAGATCCCAATCTGATGGAGCATCTGTCAGATGTGCTTGAACAAATGTTCATCAGAGGCAACAGACAAAGATCTGCTGCCAACATCCTGGTGTCAGACACAACAGGACATCCCTGAGATCCTGCATTCATCCTCCAACAGGTCAGAGGTGTTCTGGCAGCACAAAGGGGACCTACACAGTATTAGGCAGGTGGTTTTTAATGTTGTGGCTGATCCGTGTTTATTTTGGCTACAACACTTGTGTTTCAGGACCAGGATTTCAAACTGAGCATTTTCTCAGAAACACTGATCCAGAAATATCTAATTCAGTAGCATTTAAATACACCAAACTTAGAAGTTTTTAGTTTTTTATACCTAAGTTCTCAAGGTTTCAATCAAGAAGTTTGTTCATGTATCAATTATAGTCTGATTTATGTAACATTTTGTTGATAGAAATATAATGACAATGTATTGTTTTGCTATTGAAAGTAATATCTCTTTATGGGGCAATAAAAAAAAAGAAAAAAGAATTTTTAACTTGACTATACCCAGTGTTTAGATTTGTGTTTAGAACTGCATGCAAATTAATACATATTTAATTAAACAATATTTGCATATTTAAACACAACTGTAAGTAATCAGCTGTGGATATCTAATGGATATTTATGTCTTTAAAGTGTTACCCTATCTATAGTGTTTTTGCCATAATAGAGCATGTAGCAGCTTGAATATATATACGTGATTTTATCACATATACTTTAGCATTGTGCAAATGTTGAAGGTTTTAGAAGTTTCGATTTTTATCCAATGCACAATACCATCAGGGAGGTTTCTGATCAGTTCCAAATTTATCCTGCAGCATGACAACAACCTCAAACATACAGCTAGAGTCAAAAAGAAGAAGTGTGTAACAAACAAGAGCAGAAAGAGGAAGAAGAAACAGCCCTTGAGCAGATGGTCTGGACCCCACAGAGCCTTGATGTCAACACAATGCAGTTAGTGTGGGATTACATGAAGAGACAGAAGACAATGAGACAGAATAAATCTACAGAAGAACTGTGACAAGTTGTCCAAGAGCTGAACAACCTACCTGCCAAGAGCTCTCTTGGAGAATTAGTGACGTTTTAAAGGCAAAGGGATGTTGTACAAAATATTGACTAAATTTAGTTTTTTCTTTTCTTCTTTTTTAAGCTTCCTCACTTTACCTTAAGTGGCTTAACTTTTGCACAGTGCTGTATGTTCTCCTGCATGAGCAATGAGATGGTACCATGCTTTGACAATTTTATGACAGACTCATCAATTAAAAACAACAGTAATGTGCATAAAAGGCCTTACAATGGATGTAATCAATTAGCTGATCAAAAATATTATAGTAAAATAATTATGACAGGAAGAGCAGCAAGTGGTAGAGTCAGAGCAAGTTTTCACCTCTTATAGTACTGTGCACTTTACCACTTTTGCATCGCTTATGTGTGTGCAACAACGTTTGTCTGTTCTCTGTTATATAATCAGGTTTTAGCAACTGCCACTTTTGTTTTAAATGACTTTGTAACTGCTTTGGACTGAAGAAAACTCTGTGCAGATCTTTTTAATATTCTTTTAAATGTATTTGATACAGTCGAGTATGCTTCATAGTAATAAAATGGTTTAAAATGGTTTCAGAGTTACCTGTAGTCGTGTCTGTCTATAAGAAATGGTAAATCAGAACTTGTTAAAATTGCGAAAAGTGTCCCACAAGGCTCAGTCATGGGGCCTGTGCTGTTCAGATGGCCTTTATCTAGATGACAGTATCTCCTTCTTGTCGTTGTATCTTGTTGTAATGTACATCTTTCTGCTGATGACACAGTTTTCTACTTTAGAATGGACACTATACATTCTGCTGTCAAAGTTCTTCAAGCCCTGCTTTGATGAGTTACAAGTTGCATTTAACTAGCAGTATTTCTTAATGCCGATAAAATTTTAATTCATGATTTTCACCAAAGCCAAAAATATTTCTTATGACAGTCTTGTAATTTTTTTCTCCAAGTGGCACAAATATTATAAAAGCAATTATAGAATACAAATATCTGGGCATTTAGAGTGGCTTAACTCAGACAAGAAATTGGTTTACTCTAAAGAAATAAATGTTTTCATCCAAATTTTATAAAATGCATACATCAGCAGCAACCCTTTAGCACTTAGACAGTGTAATATTCCATCTGAAGATTTATTATTGGTGATAATTACAATACTCCTTACTGTGAACTGCATGCTTAGGGTGTGTTGCTCTCCCTTTGTGTAAGGCAGGACAGAGACTGCGGTTTATTTATTTATAAAGCTCCTACTGTTTTTTTCTGCCCTTACATAACTTCATTGCTCTCTTTTTCTTTTTCTTTTTTTATTTTTATGGATTCTTACCAAACACACTCAAATGCCTGGATAACTCTGCAGGTGTCAGATGTTTTCACTGAGCTTGGAAAATACAGTTTTAGTCACTGTGCACCTGCAACCTGGAATAACCTGCAAAATAATCTACAGCTCGACTCATTTTTAATCCACAGGGCAGTTTAGGTTTTTAACTACATCTTATTTTATTTCCAGCTACTTTTGATTGTGTTGATTCATTAGTTTTTACATTTCAAATGCTCTAGTTAATATTTTGTTGTACTTCGATTTTTTTTATACTTGTTTCCCAGGTTTCTTATTTGTGTGTCTATGTCTTTATTTTCTTACTCAGCCACCTTGTAAATGAAGTCTTCATACCTTAATGTTTAAATAAATGTTGAATGAATGAGCATTTTTGAAACAATTAAAGAGTAATAACTGATCACTTGAAATTGATGGATGAACCTAATATGAGCGTGGTTGCAGTGTTTCTGTTGACTTGTTCAGTGTTCATCTTCCCAGTAAAACCTTTCTCTTTCTTACTGGCACTGAAAAACCGAAAAGACTTTGTATGTGTCTGTGAATAAGTAGGTCTGGTAGCCATGGCAACAGTAGCTGCATTTATCTTCACTACCTCCTATTTTTCTTCACGCTTTATCCTTGAAGTCAGATTTATTTTTACAGTTTGAGTGAATAATTATACCCCTTTTTTTCAGTTTTATAATATGCAAGTGTAGTCACACTATTGTCAGTAACGAGTATATTATGTGCATCGAATGAGGACAGAAACAGTGGAGCACAATAAACGTGTGTATGGAGTTATTTTTGGTTATTGTATTTTACTGCCTGATCTTATGTGAGTAAAATGTTGAAATACTTTCAGCAGTAATTCTCGCCGTCAGCTTTTTGCATTAATAATAAGAAAGACACAAAGACAGATGTTCAATGGAAAAATATTCACTTTTATTGTAATGTAATTGTTCCTCCCTACTGACAAAATAGACAGGGTTGATCTTATCAGGGAAGAGTGAAGTGAAATACAGACTTTCTCATAAAAATAAAACGTGATTTAGCTAATACACAAAATCTGTGCCTGTTGAATCAGCAGCTTTGAGGAGAAGAGGTGAAAGAGGAGCGAACAGGAGCAGTCCACAATATTACAATAGTGGATGTCAAACCTTCTTTCACATATAATATATTCAATTAGTTTCTTTCTTTCTCTTGTGCTGATTTACAAAGTCAAATAACAGAGGTTAAAAGGAAGAAGAGGGAGGAATGAAGGAAAGTAAGAAAGGATGAAGGAGTAGTGGCAGAAAGGCAAGGGAAAATAAATTGCATGGAACAAGAGGGAGGGCAGGATTTTTCTTTTTTTTTTTTTAGGTTGGAACTCTAAAACATCAAAGGCTGCCTCCTCTGTAGAGCACATAGGTAGTAGATTACCAGCTGCTTAATTAATAGTACAATCACATAAGGGACAATAGTGGCAATGAGGGCAAAGGCAGAGGAGAGAGGTGCTAAATAATTCCATATTTCGCCAGGTCACTGAGCTCCATGTCCCCGAAGGCTTCCCATGGGCAGATCACTGTGATGTCAGTGCCGAGACCCTCCATACCGGGGATGTCGTCTCCGAATCTGAATGAAAGAGACGGCGAGCTCTGATGAGTGGAAACTGAAGGGAGGTCTTTCAGAGGAGGACATAAAAGCAGGCCTGTAATTCTGAAATGTACAGTGTGTTTCTTAATTGTCTCACCCCTTCTGGCCTGGTTTAGGTGCCTTGCTCTTGAAGGTGCGCACGGTCCTCTGCTTGAATTTGGGAGGAGCCTTCTTCTCAGCGGGAGTTGCTACATCTGCCATTTTGTTGATTTCCTGCAAGAAACACAGAAGAAAATATGTGAGTTCAAATCTCAGTACTTCTAAACCCAGGCAGAAACATTTTCCATTACCACCTATTGAAAAACAACTTGAGAATCATAACTGAATTGTAACTTTTACGCAATAAAAGGTTCTTTCATCCCTAAAAAATTGTTTGTCTACGTCAATCAATAATCTCCCCTATATAGAAGCATCATTACTGCAAATGTATTCCTCGCTGTGCACGTACAATGCCCTTGTTTGTACTTCCAACCCTCTTCATCAAGCTTGCAATCAATCCAATAAAGAAATTAGAAATGCATTAACCATTGAGCACAAAAATCCACAACCAGAGATCAAAATTAATCTAGATACCAAAAAACAAAATAGTGACAAGGCCTTGAGTGGTTCCAGAAAGAAAACATCCAGCAAAAAAAAGTGCTCCTTCAAAAGTGTCTCACTTCAACTCCATTTCAGAGAAATTTCAAGAAAAAAAGCCAATATTCCACATGTGTTTCTCTTCTGTAAAGAAAAGGTTGCAAAAGCAGAAACGAATCTGAGGCAAAACATGTTATCAAGCAGCAGAAGTCTTAACTCCCTGCACCAGAGCAGAAAGAATTGCAGTTTCATCTTACCTTTAATTCACAATCTCAAAGTGTTCTTTTCTGATGCTATCTGATCAGTCTGTCAGTTTCCCACTTGTGGTGTTTCTCTATCAGTCTGATGTCTCCCTTATAAAGTGCTCTGAGCTGCTAATCCACTCAGATGTTCAATCTGACATTCTTTTATGTGCCAACTCTGCCCGAGCCTGTTCTGTACCAGCTCAGCCACAAATAGATGAGATAAAGCCAGAGTGAGATAAATATATATGAGGTGTATTTCAAGTTAGATATGCGTTCCAATGTGCCAACCGAAGGTGCCATTCGTTGGCAGCAGCAAGTGGCAGCAATTAGCAGGACTGTGAAATGGAAGTTGAGGAAATCTGCTGAGAGATGTCTGCCTGTCTGTCTGTCTATCACATACTGTACATCACTAGCTGTGCCAATCTGTATCATAAAAATGTTTACAATTATAAAGAATTCGGCAATTTCGTGACAGCACAAGCTGCTCATTTGGGTTCTGTGACAGGAGAACTTGGATTTTCTGTACATGGAAAATAGCTGCAAGTGTAAAACAATGTCCTTTTTGTTTTTACTTTGAATCTGCAAGAACAGTCCTGAACAGGTTGGTGATAACAGCCTAGAGCAAGAACGAGAGAGAAACTGTGGATAAATGATATAAATTATGAATATGTTTTCTCAGTTCTCAAGATTCAGCTACTCCTCTCCTTTACTATGTAGCCACCCATACTAATAATACATTAAGTAATGTCTCATGTAAGGATAATAAAGTCTGCACAGTTTTATATATGCAACTCACACGACAGACTTAAAAAAATATATATTTTCCAATATTGCATAAAGTCTCACAGCATTGCAGTCATTGTGACACTTCCATTATTATTTGCTAGGTATGTATTAATAATTAGAAGGTTTTTATTTTATGATTTTAAATATATATATTTTTTAATCCAGGGAGGTTTGAGTGGTCATCGATTGCAAGTAGCTTTTGGAAAACTGCCGGAATTATAAAATGCTATAGATTTGGATACACCTTTACTTCATTTGTAAACAAACATGTGCCTTGGCATCGCCTGCACAAGGATCTGGAGCATGTGATGTAAAAGCAGAGGCGCGCTGAACTCCTTTCAGGTGATCATTCACATGGTGGCAAATAAAGAACACTTAACCTTTCAGCTCTTAATCCCTCGTCTCATGGCATGGACTGAGGGCAAAGAGCAACACTGAGACAGTAGATAGATAAATTAGTGAGTAAATAGATAATCAATAATTTGACATGAAGAATCTAAAGATGGTAAATGTTAATGATGCACTCAGTAATATTGTATAATAAACAATTTTACCCTTAAATCTTCATATTTAATGTCATTTCACAAAGAAAATCTTAACTTAAAGGCTGCTTTATACTTGCTTTATAGTTTTCTGCTTTGTGGTTGTAAAATAACGATTTGTTATTTTAAAAATGCACACATTCAGAATGGAGCGTGTCTATTCTAAGAATCAGGTCCCAGAACATCTCATACTGCTGAGTAAATCCCACCCAGAGATGCTGTATTATGTAAGGTCGAAAATGTCTTCACATGGCAACATGGATCTAGGTCTAAGTCCCCTCCTTAAGCTAATAGAGTGGACAGGTGAATTAGAGGATGGGGCGTGTAAAAAAAAAATTATGACGGCATGGATGAGCACGTTGGGGGATTAGAGGGGACAATATATAAGAGGACCACAGGACCAAGACCAGAAAGAAACCAACTGACCACAGAGACATATCAGCCTGAAGCCAAGTCTACTGCTACACAAACAGGTAAGAGCAAACTCTGACCTTCGCTCAGCTGTGAGTTTTGGCTAACTTTCAATTCTTTGATAGGGATTAAGGGGAGAGTGTAAATGAGTGTGCAGGAAAGTGTTGAGAAAGCACTATTTCAGATGTGCATTCTGAGGCTGGCCTACAGATGTCATCCAAGTGCTCTTACTTTGGTAGAACTTCATTTTATCATTTTTAATTTTGTGGTTTGCACACTGTGCATCGTTGCTTTATATCTGTATGTCTCTTTTACTTTTCTTTTTTTTTTTTTTTTCATACTTATGCAATGGACTTTGTGAATACTGTTTTGAAAGTTGTAAGTGCTAGACTATTAGTTGAATACATGTAACCTTACGGAGGCTGTGAACTGTTGGAGCACTGACTCCTTTGAAGTGACTCAGCAGAGAGGTTTACTGGTGTGGTCAAAATAAATGAACAGAAACCTAAAGTATATATTTGTGCTTCATCAGCCTGATCTCACAAAAACATTTTTTTTTTGTAATGTCAGCAAAGTTTAAAGAGGAGACACAACCTTTAATTACAATCATTTTAAATCTATCTGGTGGTCATTTTAACCTTCCACCTGAATATTGACACATCAGTACTTATTTTGCAATTTGTTCAACCTTAGCTTCAGGGATAATGAATATGTTTGTGTAAAAGATTAAGCATATTACCTGAAAAAATATCTTCCTCTTCTTCTTCTTCTTCTTCTTCTTAATTTTAGCATACTTTTCCACAGGGAAAAATAACAGATGGTAGCTGTAGAAATAGAAGTGTTAACAACAAAGGGAAAAAAAATAACTCAAACAAACAAACAAATGGTAAACCACAAAAGAACAAAGAGACAAAATGGTATTTTGCACATCTTTGATTATTGCTGTGACTTATTTCTTAATGTATATTTTATGTACAGTTAGCAGCAACATAATGTAGCCATGTGAAGTTTAAAACGTAGAAATCAGGGTGTGAAATGTGAGAGCTGAATCATTTTTGAGTTCAAAGAAGCCACCAGTGAGCATATTTCTGGTAAATTCCACAGGACTGCTGAGCTTTCCTGTAAAATAAGACGTCAGTTCACTGCGGTCAGCAAAGGTCAGATTAAAGCAGATTGAAAATTAGTTGTTCGGGTAAAATCTCCTTATGCTCAGGCTTAATTATTTTCACCACACTGAACGTGTTGACTTCAGTGTAACTGTGGAATTAGGTAATGTCCTGGTCTCAAAATATTCAGTCTGTGACTTGGCTGAGAGTAATCTGAAAAGCCAAGGTGCAAAAATAATCAAAGCCGTTTGCGCAACAGGTCTTAAGGACCTATGACAGCTTTGGTGTATAACTTGACCTAACCTGAGAGTGTTATGTCATCGATGCACGGGACAGTATGGGCTTAGAGGAAGAAGAAGAGGAGGAGGAGGAGGAGGGTCTTAAACAGCAAGATTAACTAACTGACTGCTAATTCTTTTTGGCTCAGAACATAAAAGATGGCAGACGCAGCCGTTGCAACTCCCGCCGACAAGAAGGCACCCCCCAAGTTCAAGCAGAGGACTGCTCGTACCTTCAAGAGCAAGGCCCCTAAACCAGGCCAGAAGGGGTAAGATGATGGGCTTTGATGTTGCCAGTGCTGGAAACCATTTATTCTTCACTTGAACATTTACATATCTGGTCATTTAATACTTCAACTAAACTAAATTTCCAAGTGAAATATTTTTTTTATTTCAATACTTTTACCTGACAGTTGCAGGTACCTTTCAAATGAAAATGTTATTTAAAAAGCAAATTATAATGTTATAAAAGACAATTCTATGTTAAAGAAACCAGTGATGTCTAATATGTTGTGGCCCTTGATCTCTATTCCAAAAAACTGTGTCATGTTGAGGAAGAGAGATTTACCTGTAAAAAGCACAAGCTAAAGAAAAGTCCAAGAAATGGAATTGGATTTCTGTGGCAGGACTTATTTCTTCATTCCCCATCTTATTTATGATTCATTTCATGGCCACATAAATCTGCTGGACTGGATATAAAACAGTAGCATTCACCTACAAAAGAAATATCCCTCTGATACATTAATAAATTAATATTAACCATTCAATTTAGCACAATAATAAACAATCACATGGACAATAATTGCACGTTTGAAGCTCATTTTGTACTTGAACAGGCCTTTGAATGCAAAGTTTTTACTTTTAACAGCATATTTTTACTGAAAGATACAATCTGAGTGCCTCTTCTTGTCAGATTGCTAGAAAGTTGAGACATATATCTATTTGCTTTTCCAGATTCGGAGACGACATCCCCGGCATGGAGGGCCTTGGCACTGACATCACAGTGGTTTGCCCATGGGAAGCCTTCGGGGACATGGAGCTCAGCGACCTGGCAAAATATGGAATTGTCTAGAAACCTCCCTGCACTACTCTTCCTGTACCTCCTCCTCCTCCTCTTCCTCCCGTCTCGCCCTATTCTCCTTCGCTTCCCAAAATATCTGACCTGATGTCTGTTGTTGTATTAGGCCCACATGTGCTTTGGAATACATTGCACATAAACTTATGCCCAACAATCATCCAAAAATGTGTCAACAATTGCACAGGAAATTTTAAAAAAGGTATATATTATAATATATTTATTTATAGATACTTCACTGAGGTGTCCATGCTTTAAGCTATAACTCCTAAATTCCTTCCCCTGTGTTTGCACTTATCTTGTGTATTTCTGAGAGACAGCTGAGATCTCTTGTAAGCAACTTCAGTCACTGTTATAACATCACTAAACCTTTGTTCCTCTTTCATGCCTTTTCCACTCTATCTCCCAACCCCTCTTTGGAGCTATTTTTCCTGATGTACAGCTGCTTATCGAGTATATATTTTTATTTTTATGAACAATGGATGTAAATTTGTTAGTGGAACTCACAATTAAGTGGGACTGTCAATAAATATATTTTCCCCGAGAAACATTGTCTTCTTGAGTACACACACCTACAACTTCAAGGTAACTTTAATTTAAAGCTGCTATAATTACCAAAGGTAACTGCACAACTTAAGGGATGCTAATGTTGCTTGGTCTGTCCAAAACATTAAATTTTTCAACAACTATTACATGGATTACTGTTACACTGTATACACATGCATAGCTGTGGTCCCCAAAAGATGAAGCTATTTGATGGTGACCTCCAGATTTCTATGGCACAATCATAAGAATAATATTTTCCAGTAAAGTACCTAAATATCTAATCAACAATCTGCTATGTGGACATTTTTGATTCAAAGATGCCTTGAGATTTTGTGTAACACCACCATGTGATATTGAAATATTTACAACAACAAAACAGACTGCCATAAAATTAGGTAGATTGGTAAAATTGTTTTGACGTTTGGTGGTTATCGGTGATAGCTTCACATTCCTTCACTTAAATGTCTTACCAAATACTTCCAAAGGTTGTTTTCTCCATCAGCCTGAGGTGTATTGTTAGTTAAATGCAAATTAGCAAATGTTGGCATGCTCACAAACATGGCCCATCCTCATTTTCTTGCACATATCTGAAGTATTCTCAGAACCCATTTTGGCCCGTTGTATCTACAATTTTATCTGTTCAGTCACTACCTAGAGCTCATGACCACAGATGAGGGCTGGAACGTATACCATCCAAGCCACCACCATACCCCCAGGTGAAGTATGTGGTTCCAGGGCCATTGCTATGAGATCCTCTTATAATCAAAGTGAGAGCAGTGTTTGTATCTACAAAGTTAAACGTGTTTTCGATGGGTGCTGGATTGATCTTGTTCAGGATCTTATGGTACAGCAGGGGTAAGAAGGGCATCCAGTTTGGGAACCTCAGAATTGTGTCTCTGTTTTTTGCAGATGATGTGGCTCTCTTGGCTTCATCAGATTTTGACCTACAGCATGAACTGAGGTGGTCTGAACACCTCAAAAGCCTCGGGCCATAGTTCTCTACTGGAAACCAACAGACTGTTTCCTTTGGGTTGAGAGTGAGTTGCTGCCCCAAGCTAAGGAGTTTCTGGTTCTCATATTTCATGTTTATGAGTGATGGGGAAATGACAAAGATGGTAAACATGTGAAACAGAACTGGTAGGCACTAATTAAAACTATACTTGACATGTATATTGCAAAAGATGTTGGTTAGAGCAATTTACAAGTGAAACACATAGCTACTCAAGTGCAAGATTCACGTATCAGAGTTGGTGGAGACCAAATCAGAGGTAAACTTTACTTCACCTCATAAGTCCAGTACCCAGAATTTTGGACCTTTCATGTAGATCCAAACACAACTCTAAATGAATGACAATGCCGCAGGCGGAAGCCAACATATTCAAATTATCATCTCAAAAGCTGATAACATGGCAGTGTTTTTTAACCACGTTAACATTTCCATAATGCATTTCTTATTTGCAAGAAGACCTATCACGAGCAATACCAGCACTGAATTTCCTCACTGACTATTTCGGCCTTGAAGCTGTGATGTTCTGATAGCAGTCTCATAACATGGATTCAGACTTCCAGGGTTTCATTCATAACAGTCAGCTTGCAAGGTGGGGCTTCTTCAAAATCAGTATCCAGTTTGAACATGTGAGGCTGAGTTATTCCAGTGTTAGAACTTGCCGTTGTGTAGCACAGATAAACCTGACCTTAAACTGAGCAGAGTCGATGATGTGCTTGAACTGCAAGTGAGCTGTGGATGGGTTGGTGGAGAAAGAAGCGAGGACTTGACAGATCTGCACATTCTGGAGTTACATCTAAGCTATTTTAAGGCACATATGGATTATTTTCATGGATAAAAATCTTCTTATATGTAACCTTGATAATCAAAAATGAAATTTTAGGGGTGTAATCAATGCTGGGACAATGTCAGAAACTTTAAAACTATGAAATGACGCATATATGCATATATTTTAACCAGGTGTCAAACTGGGATTTGCAATGTGGAGGGTTTGGAGGGTTTTGTGGTTTCAGGGTTGCCATTGGTACACATGCTTGCGTGCATGCAACAGTCCATCCATCCATTATCTATACACCACTTAATCCTCACTAGGGTCGCAGGGGGGCTGGAGCCTTTCCCAGCCGACTTAGGGTGACGGCAGGGGACACCCTGGACAGGTCGCATGCAACAGTGACATTCAAAATCTTTCTACATACAAAAAGGCCTACATTTTAATGAAAACCTATTTATAGATGTGACAGAGTGGGCCTATGATTGAAATAATTTGACAGCTTTACGTAAACTACAAAGGGTCTGATTTTGAATACCAAAAGAAAACCATGTGAAACCTCGATCACAACAAAACATTTTTATATAAAACATTTTATATGGACATTCAATAACAAAAAAACATAATGGCAGTCAAGGGGGGATACAGACATGACAGAGGGAGAGGACTGTTCATTGAAAAACCATAGCAACTATGAAGAATGACCACATAGTTTACTATAATACAATGGCAAGAAAACCATGACAGGAAAATTAAGCTGCCACATGTTATTTGTGCAGCAGCCATTTTGTTTGTCAGCAAGATTTTTTGCCAAACAGCACTGTGCTCTTTGTCGTGTTAACTAGCTTCAGACCACTAGCTGCCTGTCATGGAGTTTAGTGGTAAAGAAGAACGCAGCTGGGCTATGCTGCTCAGGAGTCAAATATGAAAAGACACAAGATTCATGCAAAACCTTTTTTTTTCTTTTTTCTTTTTTAACTTGACAAGTATCGCTCATGCTGGTTTGTCCATGCCTTCAGTGGCTCCAAAAGTCCATCTTTGTGTGTTTTGTGTAGCATTTTTCAAGTTGGGAACCAGAACATGCTGGGGACTGTTAGCATCTTTGGATGGTGCCTTTTTTTTTTTTTCAAACTTTTTCCAGAGCACATTCTATGTTAATATGAGGATATTATTTAAAAAAAAAGAAAAAGAAAAAAAAAGAAACAAACAAAAAAAAAAAAAGTTAAATGTTAGGAGAAAATCCAACAGCAGCACATTTAATAGAAAAAAACAAAAAACAAAACATTATTGACCTGCATGTTTTACCAAGTGTGAGAGGTGGAAAACACAAAGGTAGCATTGAAATTAGTTAATGGGAAGAATTGTACACACAACTTAGCTCATATCCCACATTTACATTTTGTTTTTCACCATGTTGGAATATTAACCTGCGTATGTATGAGTGATAACACTTTCGGACATTTTACTGGAAATCTTCAAACAAATCTGGAGCAAGCACACTGGCCAAGCCGACAGATTTAACCACTGAAATGTAAGGAAGCCGCTTTGAAAATAAAATAATAATAACAATAAAAAAAGACTAAAGAAAGGAACACAGTTGGTTTTAACCAAAGTGCTACAGGTCTACACTCATTCATTCTTGAATGTCTCAGTCACCTGCAAAACATGGACGCAAAAAGGAAAACAAAAATCTGTTGTTATTACTGTATATTTTGAAATATGATTAAATGTCATGCTAGTGGATCCTATGATCAATCAAAAACAAACAAACAAAAAAAACAACACAAAAAAAGAAAACTGCCTGAGCTGACTGAATATTTAACTGAGAAGACAAAAGTTTGTCACTACTCAGGTTTGCTTTCAGCTCAAGAAAAAAAAGAAAGAAAGAAATTTAACTTGCACCTTACTGGAGAAGGAACAACACTTATAGATATTTAAAAAAAAAAAAAAAAAAACAAAGAAAAAAGAAAAACGACATAAAAAAAGTAAATAAAGACAGCTATAGGATTATGATAATAACAATAACAAAGATAATATATTTATACATACGGCAGAAAAATGTGCTTTCTACAAGTCTTTGGAACAAAAACAAAAGCCAAAAAAGCCACGTTTTGGAAATATAGAATACAATGGTATAGAAATATCCACAATAGTAAGGTGTTTTGCATTTAAATATTTACTATTGACTCGCTGACTAAATCTCTCTCTCTTGCTCAGTAATCGCTGCTGGCAGCATCTCGAACACAATTCACCAACTAAAGTATGTTTCAGGAAGACTCGTTCAATGTTGGACTCTCTAGAAAAGATGGAGCATGAGGGGAAAATCCAAATAATAAATCTCTACATTTAAAATGGATCAAAAAATACTTGAACCCCAAGGTTGTGGGTGGAGGATTTAGTCTGGATGTAAACTCAACTAAAACAAGCGTAGTGTAGCACTTTATGTAGTGTTAAGTGACGGCTGCACACCAGAATGTAGTGAAATCCTGTGCATGAGCAGGACAATGTGAGACTATAGCCGTGTCATATAGCTGGAAGGTGGAGGATTTGTAATATAGATGCTTATTATCTGATTTTAACCCCAAGGTTCACTGTTAAATCTGCAAACAAAATAATGGTTCAGTAAGAATAAGAATGAGAATAACTACAATAATAATAATAATAATAATAATAATAATAATAATAATAATTTGGTAACTTTTTTTTCTCTAAACTAATTTCTTTGCATATCATAACAATTTTTAAGTTTAAAGGTTTACCATTTCCACATACTAAGAAAACTTGAGGTAAGGAACAGCTCTAATAACCCTCCCTCCTTCAGCTTTTGGACGTGATTTCTGTAGCGTTATAAACCGTCACATCATCCTCTCTCCCATCTCGTCATGTTCGGTTTCCCTTCTGCCAGAACACAGCAGGACTGGAAATCCTCTCATTACTATCCACCCACGTTAAGGAGGAATTATAAAATCCATCAGTGGGTTGTTTTATCATTTTAGCGACTCGTCATTCTGGTTCAAAAATGTTTTCAGGTGCTCTTTCAGTGCACCGTCTTCCTTCCTTCCTTCTTTCCTTCCTTCCTACCGCCCTGATGTTTTGTGGATACCTTGATTGCCTGTTTTCTTCTCTTTTTCCTTAAATGCCGAGTGTGTGCAGGCCACACAGTTCAGCTCAGCTCTTTCTCTTACAGGGGTGACAGCTGTTTAAATGTCAGTTGTCCACATACAGCCTTTGGAAGAACATCTGGGCTCCATCCCAAATCTTGTGCTGCTGAGTGCCGAGGAAATAAGAAGGGGGAGACTATAATACAGCCGTGCAATAGGGAAGGTGGCCACTTTAAGTCTTAATTTTTTCTTCTTTTTATTTTTTTTTTAAAGTTATTTTTTTAATGTAAAGGCCTTCCTTCAGTCTTTAATACAGCATTCCTCTATTTCTGTAGTAGCGTATATAAGAAAACGTGGGACTGCTCTGGGGTGGGATCTGAAATATCTTCGTTGTGGTTGACTCCACGCTGTAAAACTGGGTGCAGTCCACCTCCACGACAACAGGGGGAGCTCTTTCAGAGAAATTCAATGGAAGAGACGAGCTCCTGGGAAATGTAGTGTCTTTAATAAGGGGCAAATCTACTGTAGCCTCCCCTGTACAGCGTGGCCTACAGAACAACAAAAGAAACACATTTAGTAAAGGACTGTTGACTAGTAAAAACTGCATTCATTTCAAGATAAACCTGGTGAAGATTTCAGAAAATAAATAGTCAAAGTAAAAGAAGTAGAACATTGGCTGAGTCATCTATTTTCTGTGTTGGAAAACTACCTGACTAAAGATCTGTCGTGCAGTTATTCCTCTAAATTTAGACTTGCAATTAGATATTAACACAATGACCATCTTTAAAACTATAAAACCGCTTAATTGTCAGCTGATATTCTCTACATGGTACACATGCCCCCATGCATTTTTTAATAAGTTAGCAAATATGCGCTATACAAATAAAATTGAATTGATTTGAACAACAACACAGTTGACAATGAAATAGTTTTGCTGTGATCTAAGGCTGTAAGAATTCTGGGGCCCAGAACAGTTGCCTGGTTTCCCCAGTTTGTAATCAAGGTTTGGTCTTAATGGTGTAAAGATCAAGTGCAGAATAATGCACATAAAAGTTAGAATATATGTATATGTATGTATATGTATTAATCAGTGATGCAAAATATTAAAATTTCTGGCCGATACCGATATCTGATATGAAGATTTGTGATATCGCCGATAACTGATATTACCAATGTTGATATTTAATTTTTGTTCACACTAAAAAAATTATTATAAGTAAGCACTGTGAGAACATGAAAGTTATTCAAATGAAGCCAATACCAAATTAGACCACATAGTCTTCTTTATAATGGAACAAAAGTAAAACATATTTTTACACATTTAACGTTCAAGTCTAGGACCATTTAAGTAAAAACATCTGTAAAATAGAAACATTATCAAACGTAGAGATGAAGGCGCTCATGTTAGACAATCATTGGTTAATCACATCGCCTAAATTCATTCATTGGACAGATACCGGTAAATCGGGAAAAAAAAAACCCATATCGGCCGATACCGATGTGGTCGCCAATATATCTTGCATCCCTAGAATTAATATTAGAAATAAAGGTTTTCGTTGGACTCACCATGGCTCCAACACCGTAGGCAGCCGGGGCAAGTGCAGCATGGTAGGGGTCTGCTGTGTAAACTCGTCCATAGCTATCAGAAACACCACACAAAATGTATTCAAGGAAAATAAAGAGGAACATTTTGTTCATAGCATAAGATGTCAAACATACTGGAATGGCAGGAGAAAGGAGTATTTTTGTGAACACCCCAAACTACCTCACATCTTTCCTCACACTTCATGATCTAGAGAAACTTATGCACACAATGTAATTCACTATATTTTGTCACTGGCCATTATCCTTTCTAGCTTCAACTTGTTCAAAACACTGGAGGCTATAAGATGTGCCAGACTCACCTGTCGCTGTAAGCTGCCGCTGCTGCAGCTGCTGCTGCAGGAGTTGCTACTGCAGCCGGCTGGGCGTAACGATAAGCTGCATAGCCACCCTGTGAGGAGGCGATGGAGAGGAGGACAGAAAAAAGAAAGAGTGTGCAATGGAGGAGAAGGAGATATAATGAAGGGATGGGTGACAAGGGAAGGTGAGAAGAGTAAACTCTTGTTAAAAGTTTGCCATATTTCCTCTGCAGACTCAAAGCCTAGTGATGAATCTAAGGGGTTACATTGTGACAAAAAACTGCTGAGAAGAGAGCGAAAGATTAACAAGCAGACAGTCAGCAAAATTGGCTAATCTGGTGCAGTATAGCATTCACAAGGATGTAGCTCAGGCTCTGCGTGACACTCTCACTCCATGACTAAGCCGGAAAAGAAATGAATTGTAAATGCTTTTTACCATTTGTGGCACTGAAGTGTTTTATCGTTCCCACTGTGAGTTAGTCATAAAGGGAGAGAGAGCTCAAAGCCATAACTGTGCCCCAACCCCGGTTCCCCTACCAACAACACACAGTTAAAGAAAGGGGACGGGGTGGCAAGATGATTGTGACATTATTTATGTTTGGATGAACAGCTCATGAACAGACACAAAAATCTACAGGTGTAAGAAGATAGTCAGCCAGTCGGATTAAAAAAAGGGGGCAGACACACACACTCTCATGTGGTCAGCAACCAATCACTGACAGACACAGCATGCTTTCCCAAACTCAGTGTATTAGGTCAAACATCCCTATAAAAACAAATTAAAAAGAAACACACACCACTGCATTCTACCCTAAAGAATCAGTCACGACCAAGTCCCTGCATTCAGGACCACACAGTTGCTGCTATGGGAGGAAGGCTGGACTGGGAAGGTGGGGAAGAGGAGGGAAAAGGAGGAAGATAGGGAGGGGAAGGAGATGAAAAGAAGGATCAGAGAGAGAGAGAGAGAGAGAGAGAGAGAGAGAGAGAGAGAGAGAGAGAGA